TTTTTTATAAAATTAAATATAAAAAAAATTACTATTAGGTTTATATATAATTTTAAACTACTACCTCCTACCCTTAAAGATATCAAAAATTTAATTTTAATAATGCTTTTATAATTATATTGTTCAATTTGTATAGGAGTATCTTTATGAACTTCTGGATTTGGATGTTTTATTTGATGCTTTGTTCAATCAATATGACAATTACAATGATAAGTAAACATTAATAATTTTTTTTTGATTCTTGTCTTTATAAATCCACCTATAACCATCTTCATTTTCAATAAATTTTGCTATACAATGAGCAACTTCAAGGTAAAGTTTTTTATTATTATTTAAATTTTCTTTATCCTCATCTAATATTATAGTAATAAGAGAAAACAACTCAACATCAAAACTAATTACTAATTTGATATTATCATTTTCATAAAAGTTATTAGTATTTTTCAAGGAAATCAAAGAGTTATACACAAATTCATTAATGTCTGAGTAAGTAATTGTAGTTTCATGCCTTTGGTTATTATTTTTAGACATTCAAAAGGTGGTTCTTTTATCTCTACATGATTGACACCAAACTAAGGCTTTATTATTTTTACGAAATTCAGTAATTTCTTTTAACTTATGACAATTATCACATGTTTTATGAGATGGAAAATCAACACTTTACTGATCATTATTAACTGTTAAAAAAAGTTACAAGTTGACAAAAAATTTTTGAGTAAAAAAAAAATTTCTTATATTTATTCGATTCTAAACATCGAAGATTCAAATATTGATCATGTTACATTGCAAGGTACGTTCATCAGATTTATTACATCATATGCTTTATCATTATAATTTATTAAATCAATTAGTCAATAAGCACTCCTGGCTTTAGACGGCTCTTTTCAAATAAATGTAAAATAAGAAAATAACGCACATCTCATGGTAATTGTGCTAAAACATTGTAGTTTTATGAATTGAATTATTAAATAAATAAAAACCGGGTGGCAAATATAAATACCACAGGGCTTTAGTACATCTCACTATAAGTCTCTTGAAATGATAAAATTTGAATTTTATTGTTATTGTCTCATTTATTAAAATCATTAATAATGCATTCTTACAAAATAATTGTTAATTGTGTAACCCCGATTAAATGATTTTCATTTGAGTTACCAAACATGCAGCTACATTTTTTTCGGGGAAATGCTAGGGTTGTTATTTGATTTCATAGTCTAATTACCACGCTAATAATAAGTTCAATTGGAGTACCAAAACATTTACGTTGTTAATTAGAATGTACCTAAAGTTAACGCCTATCTGAAGCCGCACTTGACTGAAGTTAGTGCCTGAAAGTAGATCTTCTTGCACGCATTAGCCATTAGTTTTAGAAAAGTGCAACTTTAACTTCAGGCACAACAATATCATAAGCACCCAATCCTTTATATTTAGGAAGCAATAATTGCCAAAATTCTTGTTCTATTGTTTTTTTTTCTTATACCTTAAATAGAGAAATATCATAAAACATAATGATAAATGAGATTACGCGTTATAACTTTCCGTAATTCTACCAACCTCTAAAATTCTCTAAAAATTCTATTGAAAAAAAAGATAAATTTAATTTTGAATAATATAAATTTAAATGTTATAAGGAATCACCAAAATTTGAACATAATTGATTTGATATTTTTTGCGTATTGATTAGTTTACTTGTATACATGTGAGAAGGATGTTCTGGCTCAATCGGTTTTAGATCGATCTTATCAGCTTCTGAGAATTGACGTTTAATTTCATTATCATT